GGGGTTGGACTCCATGACTCCTGAGGTCTCTTTCAACCCTAGAAATCTAGGATTCTAAGTGGTCCTAATTCTTATGCCTCCGTTTCCTCATCTATGATGTAGGGATAATGATGCTGGCCTGCCTTTCCAAAGTGCACGGAGACCATGGAAGGAAAGATGCCACACAGAAGCTGGATGGAGGTATCACTGTTTTATGGATGGAGAAACGGAGGCACGAAGACTGCGACATGATTGCCCGCAGTCGTGCAGTAAGGCAAACTAAACCGAGGTGCAAATCTCCTGTTGCTCACACTGCTGTAAATCAAAAGCCAGGACTATGTAGCATGTTAAAGGCTAACAAGATGGTTTATTAGATGATGAGCTTTCGTGGGCCAGACCCACTTCCTCAGATCAATATGTGGAAGAAAATCGGCACAACCATATATACCAAAGTGATACAATCAAAAAAAATGTACGCATGTGAAATTGACAAATCAAATTTTAGAACAGAGTGGGGGTGAGGGGGGAAAGTTACTGTCTGTGAGGTCATGACATAGGGGCGATAATAGGGGAAGTTTCTGTGAAGTAATGACATTAGGGGTGATAATTGGGGAAATCAAGACTTGTTTGCTCCCTTGACTTCCCTGGAATTATTCCCCTTTTCTCAAAGCGGGGATTTCATATCCCAAGGGTGTGTAACCCTGATATATTTCAAGCCACAGGGGCTCTGGATTTCAAGCCTACCGATCGGACCCCTATGTGGAAGGACACACACACCTGGACATCCACCTGTACCTGCATGCGGCAAAGCCAAGGGTCTTCTAAGCCTGCAGCATGCTCTTCTCCCTGGGGCTTTCAAACAGGAACGAAAGGGGAGAGATCTTTCTTCCCCTGCCCTCGGCATCTGGGACAGCCATCCATTACAATAGGAGTTAGACACCAAGGCTCAGAGTTTTGAAGGCAACTAGGTGCCCAACTCCCTTGGTTGTGGTGGGAGTTGGGTGCCTAAATACCTTTAAAAACCCGACCCTTTGTGCCATAGAACACAATGAACCCGTGGAGCAAATTGCCATGGCTGAGGTGTGAGGGCCGAACTGGTAAATGGGTTCTAAAAAGAACTAGATACATCCATGGGGAATAGGTCCTGGTCAAATGCGGGGGAAGAAAAATGGGATCATCCGCATAACCCATTCCACCTGCGGCTCCCTCTGACGGCCAGCAGCCAGGAGGCAAAGAGGGAGTGAATCACGCCAGCTACTATACACGCCCCTTGTAGCCACACAAGAACACCAGAATGGCCACACTCGGCTGGAGCTCCCTTCAGTTCTCTTGGAGTATGTCTACACTGCAACATTATTTCGAAATACAAGCGACCCCCGACTTACAACCGCCCAACTTACAACCTCCCGCATTTACAACCATTTTTTTCATGCGAGATACCTCCTAAAGCCCCCCAATTTATGTCTGCAGCTCACATTTATGACGGTGTACCACGCAGACCCCATGCATCGTCCCAAAACAGGAAACACACAAAGTCAGTCAGACTCGCCAGTCTGCAGCTGTTGCTTGACCTGCGTGTGTCTCTATCACATCGGTCTTCACTTTTTAGTTATTTTTGGGCATTAGTTGAACTATTTCGTTTAGTTTTCCTCCACTTCCGTAGTCAATTTTGGTGGTTTGAGGGTATGAAATGGATTTCTAGGAATGGAACAGCCATTTATAACATTGCGCCTGGGGTAAATAAGAATTCGACTTACGGCGGCTTGACTTACAAAGGTTCTCCCGGAACCAATTAGGTTGTAAGTGCGGGGGTCACCTGTAACTTAGTTCTCGTCTACACAGCTGGCATAATGTCGAAATACTGCCACACTGGCAGACTTCTTACTCCGACTCCTGTAACCCTGATTGTACGAGGAAGAGAAGTCGGAGGAAGAATGATCGATTTCAAAATGAGTACCGTGTAGACGCTCCCAATTTCGAAATGAGCTAGTCGGAAATCAGTGACGCAATGAACATAGCTCAATTTGCGTCACTTCTTTCGAGTGAAGCCCTGTTGTGTAGACGCGTCCCAAGTGGCCTGAGTGAATGACTGTGATGGCGTGTCGGGGTTCCCCCCAATCCTGCACCCCCAAAGCAGCAAGGACAGACTCCACCAGCCAATAGAACAGAGGGGGTTTATTGCTTCTCCAGGATACAGCCTAGCACAGATATGATGTGATTACAGGTGTCAGGGACAGGAGCCTCACACCCCTTGGTTTAGGGGGTCCATCCCCCCTCAACCCTCAGCACTCAGCTTAGCCTGTTTCCTTCATGTTTCCCAGCCAACAACTGCCTTGCTCCCAGACCCTGCCACCCAGACAGGTGGCCGTCTCCTCCTCCCTCCCTTTGTCTCTCCCTCTGGGAAGAGCCTTGTTATCTTCTCAAGATGGGACCAGGTGTCTGGGCCAATCCACATGTGGGTGAATCAGTGGGAATCTCACAGCCCAGCTCAGGGGAACCCCGGGTTACAGAGCAGACAGCACCCCCACTACATCACAATGACCTAACGTCATCAAGTAAAGACAGACACCGGGGGCCAGCCAATCATCTCCCACAAGCCTTTTGGACCAGCCCAGGTTTATTTTTTGATTTTCCCCCATTGTGCACTAGGCTGAGACCCGGCAATTCGTCTCACATTGCAGACGGTACAAACGTCAGTCACTGCTAACAATACGGTTGCTTTGTCCAGAGCCAGGCAGCCTCAGAGACAGCTCGTAGCTTTGTGTCACATATCAGAGGGGTCGCCGTGTTCGTTTGCGTCTGCAAAAGCGACCAGGAGTCCTGTGTCACCATATAGGCTAACAGATGTATTGGAGCAGAAGCTTTCGTGGGCAAAGACCCATTTTGTCAGCTGCATCTGTCGAAGTGGGTCTTTGCCCATGAAAGCTTTTGCCCCAATACATCTGTAAGTCTATAAGGTGACACAGGACTCCTTGTCGCTTTCGTAGCTTTGTGTTCAGCTAGAAACTGGAACCATCTCATTGGAACGATTCCTATCTATCGACTTTAGCATATCCGAGGTACCCATCACCTTGGTATATAAGCACCCTGATAGCCACTTTATCTCCTGCCTACCTGGACTTTTCTAATCACAATGTGATTGATCTGTAATTCGTATTGATTTTCTCCTTCTCAATTACACCCTGTTGATCCGTAAGATGTTCCCCTCAATGGGTCCCGCTGGGCATTATTAAAAAGTCTTTGCAGTAGGCATGCAAAGAGAGGTTCAACTCCAGAGGGAGTCATTAAAAGTCAGTGAACTCCACTGGTGTAGCAAATCTGGAGTCCACAGTGTGACACTCGGGGTGAATTTGGCCCATCGCGCTAAATGCCCAGAGACAGGAGGTGTGTAGAGTTCTCAGCCGTGGTTACGATTAAAGCAAACTGGATGTGAAATGAAGGCAACTAAATGAGCCCTGGTGAGATTCAACTCACACGAGGAACAAAACTTTCCGGGTCCTAGTTCAATAGAGCTACAGGAACTTTCACCAGCTGAGGGTCTGATGGGTCGCAGAATTGTTGGGCGATTTCCGTGGGGAGGAGCACCCCCCACAGACATCTCCTCAGGGTTCCAGAGAAGCAAGCGGTGGAAATGCCTGTGGGGCTGGAACGGTCCTTCCTCAACTGAGACAAAACAGCGACTGACTCCAAAGAGGAAAATCCAGTTAGTTCTGGGTCAGCATCAGGGGTCAGACTGGTTCCTGGAGTAACTCTGCTCTTAGACATGGGGTTACCCTATCATGGGCTAGTGACCAGTTCGGGGTGCTAGCTGAAGGCTAGCCTAGGAACCCTTTGCTCACATTAATGAATAGTTACACATGTAAATCGTTCCACTGAAGTCAGCAGTACGAATAACTGTTTATCAGCAGAAACACTCCAGCAACTGAGAGTTAAAGGCCCAAGTCTTCCTTCCTCATTCACAGGGTGAAGGACTAATCTTTGACTAGGCCAACTGACTTCAGTAGCTCTAGTCATAACATAAGGACTAGAGGTCACCACATGAAATGAATAGGCAGCAGGTTTAAAACAAACCAAAGAATTGTTTCTTCATGCTGTGTCAACTCGTGGAACTCCTTGCCAGAGGATGTTGTGAAGGCCAGGACTTTAGCAGGGTTCAAAAAAGAGCTAGATACATTCATGGAGGTTAAGTCCATCGATACTTATTAGTAAGGATGGGTGGGAATGGTGTCCCTAGTCTCTGTCAAAATCTGAGAATGGGCAACAGGAGACGGATCACTGGATGATTCCCTGTTCTTTTCAATTCCTCTGAGGCATCTGGCATTGGCCCCATCAGCAGACAGGACACTGGGCTAGGGCTCAAGGTTTGAAGACTAGACGACAATGTTATTGGAAACCAAATTGACTGTAGTGATTTTTTTTATTATGAACACTTAGCAAATGATAAGAGTTCAGAAGGATGAAGAAAAAACATACCTGATGGAAATCCCATTAAAAAATATCTAAAAAACCCATAAATGGACAAACTTTAACAATCATTGAAAAAAAAGATATCCCACATAAAAATTGACTTCATAAAAATAACACTGTATTTTTGAAAAATACAACAAAGCATGTACATTTTCCTTTTATTTTCCCCCCAAAAAACCCTACCCTTAATTAAGTTAAGGACCCAAGAAGAGCTGGGGAAATACGCTACTACTGTATATCTATATGTGTGTGTATATATAGAAGCTCTGTGTGTTATGAATGGATTTTATCTGCACCTTCTCGCTGGGCACATTCTACCCTTGTTTCCTCAGTTTAGAGCAGCCCCAAGTGCATGTTGCCCACCTAGGTCCTAAAGAGAATGGTATCATGGGTTTTAAGAGGTCTAACGGTTTCTTCCACATCCATAACTCTCTGAAATGCCCAGGAAGTCTAAATGAAACACAACCTGGATCTAAGCTAGCTTCAATTCAGGCCCTATCCCAGCACAGAGTATATCGATTTTATTTTCACCTAAGGCAGCGGAGCAGTTGGTGTTATCCAAACACAAACGACTTGCAAGCTTTCCTCAGGGCTTCCTTGACCTCTTTGTTTCTAAGGCTGTAGATGAGGGGATTGACCAGCGGAGTCAGGACTGTGTAGACGACTGAAAGAACTTTCTTGAGGTCCTTCAGGAGGTCGGTGGTTGGGAACATGTAAATAATGAGCAGCGTTCCATAGTAAATGGTCACCACGATGAGGTGGGAGGAGCAGGTGGAGAAGGCCTTTTGCCGCCCCCTGGTGGAAGGGATCCTCAGGATGGTGGCGATGATGCAGATGTAGGATGTCACGGTGAGCAGGAACGGGGCCACCGAGAAAATCAAGCTGAATATGAAAATCAACATTTCCATCAGCTGAGGGTCACTGCAGGAGAGATTTATCAGAGGGACAAGATCACAAAAGAAATGGTCGATTGCATTGGGGCCGCAGAAATTTAACTGGGATACAGACAATGTGATGATGATGCCGCACAAAAAGCCACCGGTCCAACAGCCACCGGCAAGCTGGAGGTGTAACCGGCTGCCCATACGGGTTGTATAGTGCATTGGGTTGCATATCGCTACATACCGGTCATAAGACATCACTGACAAGAGTAGGCATTCAGCAGCAACCAGGGAGCAAAAGAAATAATATTGCGTGAGACACCCGCTGAATGAAATAGCCGTGTCCTCACTGAGAAGACCGGATAGCATGCTGGGCAGAACAGTGGAGGTGTAGCAGGTCTCCAGGCAAGACAAGTTCCCCAGGAAGAAGTACATGGGGGTGTGGAGGTGCCGATCTGCCACGATTAGAGTTATTATGAGGATGTTCCCGGCCACAGTCGCGGTGTAGATCAAGAGAAACAGCAGGAAGAGCAGGACCCGCAGTTCAGGAAGAGTCCCGAATCCCAGGAGGATGAATTCTGTGATGGTGGTTTGATTTCCCTCTTCTGGGCTCATCGTGGGGTCAACCCACGGGAAAGGACTTCACGGTGTGCTAGAAATGAAGAACATTCACTCCATAAATTGTCAGCCTTGTTGCTGTTGTCTTCTCAGCTAGCTACTGAGTAGAAAGTAGAGGCTAGGGGCAGGGATGTTGAGAAAATACCATCTCTGTTGACCCAATGGACAGATGGCAGGTTCAACAAAACGTCAGTCTCTCTGGACACCTGGGCAGTAACTTGACCGATCCCCACAAGCACCTCTATATTATGATAATGGGTCTTGGACACAACAGTGGAGAGTCACAGACAGGTATGACTGGACCTAATGCCTGGAAGATAGCTAACGTTATGCTAAAATTTAAAAAGGGCTCTAGAGGTGATCTTGGCAATCGCAGACTGGTAAGTCTAACCTCAGTACTGGGCAAATTACTTGAAACTATAGTAAAGAATAAAATTGTCAGACACATGGATGAATATAATTTGTTGGGAGAAAGTCAACATGGTTTCCATAAAGGGAAATCCTGCCTTACTAATCTACTAAAGTTCTTTGAGGAGGGTCGACAAACATGGGACAAGGGGGATCCAGTGGATATAGTGTACTTAGATTTCCAGAAAGCCTTTGACTAGGTCCCTTACCAAAGACTCTTATGTAAAGTAAGTTGTCATGGGATAAGAGGGAAGATCCTTTCATGGACTGAGCACTGGTTAAAAGATGGGAAACAAAGGGTAGGAATAAATGGTCAGTTTTCAGACTGGAGAGAGGTAACTAGTGGGGTCCCTTAGGTTGAATAGGACTGGTCCCAGGATAGACCCCTATTTATAAATCATCTGAAAAAAAGGGGCAAACAGTGAAGTGGAAAAATCTGTAGGTGCTACAAAACGTCTCAAGATAGTTAAGTACCAGGCAGACGGTGAAGAGTACAGAGACATAGACAGAAGAAGCTGCATAACAAATTTGATGGCCTTGCTCTTACCGCTTAGAAGGCGTTTTTGAACAGACAGAATCATTTTTTTCATCATAATGGTGAGCTGGAGGACTTCTTACTCCAACCCCTGTAAGCCTCATTTGACAAGGAGTAAGGGAAGTTGAAGGAAGAGTGTTTTTCCTTTGACTTCCTGCTGTTTAGACAACGCCAACACTTGGGCTACGTCTACACTGCCATGATTTTCCAAAAATGCTTTTAACGGAAAAGTTTTCCGTTAAAAGCATTTTCGGAAAAATCACGTCTAGATTGGCAGAATGCTTTTCTGCAAAAGCACTTTTTGCAGAAAAGCGTCCGTGGCCAATCTAGATGTAGTTTTCCGCAAAAAAGCCCCGATCTCCATTTTCGCGATCGGGGCTTTTTT